CACAGAAACGATAATCAGCGCAATATGAACCGTGACAAACAAAATAGAGTCTCACAACTCTAATTCCAACTCTCTCAACCGCTCTCAAAACTCTCTCCACAGTCAAAATCTCTCAGCATCATCCTCAACATCTCTCAACGCACTGACAGTCAAACTCTCTCAGCAGCCCGAAACACACTCGCAAAAACCTTACGCTCTCAACAGTATCTCTCAACACCCATCAAAACATATTCCAAAGTACTTTCTCAACACTCTGCAAAAGTCTTAGCGTAATCAAATACAACAAGCCTTGAAGCAGAGTCAAACACATGTGCTCCTAGATTGCAGAATCAAGAGGTTACTCTTGACTGTTACAGTAGAGTCAAATACAGCAAGCCTTGAGGCTGTGTGCGCGTAGATTTTTCCAAGGGCGCCTTCATGACAAGATCGTCCTAATCTACATCTATAGGGCTATGTTCACGTTCTTCTTCTTCTTCTTCACGCACATCATCCTCGCCTTCCTCACCAGTCGTCTCACTCTTCTTCTTTTGCTTGGCCTTCCGCTTCTTCTCAGCAACAACCGATGTTCGTGGATGCGTTTGATCGAACTTTTGGCCAGCTTCTTTGCGCGCGCACCGCGCCCTGGCCTTGGCATCCTTTGTCATCCTGGCCCATGCTGCACTCCCAGGGAAAACCCCTGCGCTTTTCCTCGGTCTGAACTTGTCAAACATCTGGTGGCACGCACGGCTGGCAATTGTGTTTCGCTTCTTCGAACGAATCTCTGAAGTCCATCCTTGGCCGTCATCACTGTCTTCACCATCATCAACCTCATCCTCCTTCTTCTTCGTTCTTCTCGACCGAAGTGGATGGCGGCGCAGATGATGGCCTCTTCAGAACCTTCGCACTATACTGTTCTTTTTGGCTGTCGACAACTCGAACCTGTTTGCTTTGTTGTTCGTATCACCAATTCCTCTTGGGTTCGTAGAACCATCACCGCCATCATTCTTCTGCGTATTCTTCTTTGTGGGTTTCTTCTTCTTCTTGCTGCCATCTTTCGACCCTGCTGCAAGGATTACACACACAACCATTCTTCTGGGTGAACTCAAGCAGAACTGCATGGTAGGGATCTGCTAACCGGAAACGCTCACCGTGACTCTGTTGGAGGTGATGTAGGATGTCAATGGATCTCCTGAATTGTTGCATGCATATGATGCAAACCTGTCTGCGGCCTTTCCTTTTTTACCATTGTTTTTCTTTGCTTGTTGTTTTTTCTTTGCCATGTTCAACTTCTTGCGCAAAGTGAGGTTGGCGTTGGCATTCACAGGGTCAGCCTCTTTAGACATCTTCAAGATTCTTCTTTCATCCTTAGTTGCGGTCATCAAGAAAAAGCAAGAAACAAGACAAAGAAACCAACAGAACAGAACCAACTCGCCTCTCAACAACCCTCAACAACTCTCAACAACTCTCAATCTCACAACTCTGAACGTATTAAGATTGCATTAATAGTCTTCCTTAGAATGTGCAAGCATAGGAACAGGAGAAAGGTCATCATAAAAACCGTCATCTTAGAAGTCGAAGTCGTCGTCTTGACTAGGTCGACGTTGTGTCTTTTTCTGCTTCTTTGAATTCTTGACCTCCTCTTCTTCTGCCTCCTCTTTCTTTTTTTATTGCGCTGTCTTTTCTTCTCTGGAGAAGAAGAATCACCATCCATCATGCTCGAAAAGTTGTCAAAAAAAGATGGCTGAGGAGAACCAAACGCTTTCCCCTTGTTTCTCTCCTTAATAATCTTGTGGCCAGCGGGGAGAATCTTGATGACGGCATCACCACCCTCCTCCTTGCTACTATCTTCCTCCTCATCATAGCTGAGCTCTCTTCTTGTCTTCTTTTCCTTATTCTTCTTCTTCATCTTGGTTGGGGTCCATGGATCAGAAGATGTGGTTGAATCCAACGAACGAACATTCTTCTTCTTCTTCAAGACGTTCTCAAACACTGTTCTAGGTGATGAAGAAAGCGCGTCCTCATTCCCTTTCTTCTTGGATTTCAAAACAGGCGACGATGATGAAGGAGTGGCTGTAGTAGTAGGACGGTGGACGACAACAAGATCAGTCGACTCGGTATGATGACAAAGGTCTTCTGAAGAACCACCTGTCTCCGACACCACCTTCAACAAGTTGACCCTTTTCATCAACTCACACAACTTGCTCCTCTCCTCTGAAGTAGCCTTTTTGTGAGCACGACCGAGGCATCCATGCACATTGTTCTTGAGGTCACGAAGTTGGGACATGCCAATTCTGATCTTCGTATCTACCCAATCCCACAGCTCTGAATCATCCTTCTTTGTCATGTTGACAGGCCCTTCTTCGCGAAGCCGGATAATAGCATCCTTCACCTTCCTACTGGTCAGAACAGTGTTCGGCGCCACGTCCAGAAGCTTCATAAAAAAGGGCTAAGACGCGTTAGCTATTTGTACTGCGGTGTGGACTTCCAGTCCAAGATCTTGCAAATATCCCTGGAGTCCTCCTTCACAAACAGCTCTTTGAACGCTCCCATCAAATCACTGGTAGCGATTGCAGGGTCAGCTCTCAAGCGACAGCGCGATGACGATGGAAAAGTCTTTGCAACCAGTGATGACGAAGCAGCAGCTGACACGTTGAAGCAAGGCACGGCAGCAAGTTCTGATGAACAGATACGCTCAACTAGTCATTTGCTCAAAAAACAAGACAGATACGCTCAACTAGTCATTTGCTCAAAAAACAAGAGTGGTTGAAGCACCAACGGACTCACCACCACCACTGGCTCTTATACACCAACCAGGAATGTGAAGAATGAATGGTGATGTTTTCAGATCCAAACTCTTGGGGCTTTGGTCCAAACTCTTGGGGCTTTGATCCGTCTTCAGAGGAAATGCATCTGACAAAGATAAACACAACAATCATCCGACATGACATGATCAGTGATTCAAATTCAAAAAATCCTCAATCAACAACTCTCCACAACCCTCCACAACTCCGCAGCAAAACGCTCTCTGTCAAGAAGATGTTCACTCCCTCAACCTCTCTCCAAACCTGCCAGGATCAATACAATTCTGCCACATTCAACTGTCCTCTCCACATCTCTCAACATCTCTCCAAACACAAGTCTGCCAAATTCAACTGTCCTCTCTGTCTCTGTCAAGTCACTCCTCCCAACAAAACCACTCAACATGAACATTCCCCTATAATAAGTGTACATGGTTCCGACTTCACAAACACAATAACAACACACCACCACAGTACAATCTTTGAGAAATGGCTGCGAATACACAGAGAAGTGGCTGCGAATACACATGCTGACCCCAGAAATTACAAGTGCAAAACTTCTACCAAACTTCTAGTTCTCAACTAGAACTAGAAGAAGAAAAAAATGCAAAAGTTCTATCAAAGTTCTACTTGCAAACTAGAAGTTTGATAGAAGCTTCTATGAAACTTCTAGTTTGCAATCGCCGCAAAATAAGAGTATACGTTCAAAATGTTGTCTATGTTTAACGAAATTTCGTTTTTTCGATAAAAATAGACGAAATTATGATATATGTTTTAACGAAATTTCCAAAAATTCGTTAATGTTTTTCGTTAATTTTTTCGTTAAAAAATTAACGAAATTAAGTTAATAGTGAATTTTGAACGTCTATTTTTGAAAATAGACGTTCTCAGTCTATTGGGGAGGCTCGGGGATCTCGAATCCCGAATCTCGCATCTCGAATCTCGGATCTCGCATCTCGAATCTCAGATTGATCTCGGATCTCAAATCCCGAATCTCAGATCTCAAATCTCGAAAATTGAATCTCGCATCTCGAATAACATGCAAAAATCGGATCATATATATTGGCTTTTCGGGGCTGCAGCCCAAGCATCAAAGGTGTCGAGGCCATATAGACTGCTTCAGAACTCTGAATACTATCGCTTCCGGCCTTCCCCCTCCTGGTGAGCTCTCTGCACATAGCGATCGGCCCCAGCCAGGTCGCCAGGTGGTGGGCAGTGGACAGAAAAACGTCGTCTCTTGGGCAAAGACGACTCAGCGGAAGTTAGTGCGTGACATCACAAGATGACTACAACTACAGGCACACTTGGGCAAACATGCGAGTAAACTTAAAATATGAGCGATATTGGAATCGGACCTGAGGTGAAACGGCTACTGGCATCACCCAAGCTCAAAACTGGATAGCAAACCTGGTTATAAAAAAATCGGGCGAACCGGATTTTATCGGCTAAGCTGACATTTTAATTGTGCATTAGATACGAATACCTGAGTGGACATTGGATATCAATACGTGATATCATCCCCTCCAAACAACACCCGCTCAAAGGCAATCCCAATGCCACAGCGACAATCACCTGCACCACGATTCTTTGCGCCTACCACGAAAATTTGCACGTCCGCACGCCCAACACGCACAAAGTACTGCGCCTGCCACGATGCGCCCTCCGCCAAACCTCGCAACCTCACAATTCCCTGCGCCTGCCACGAAAATCATACTTCCACACCTCAAAATCTCCACAAAATATTGCGCCTGCCACGAAAAGTGACCATATCATGTCATATTAGCTTTAACAAAATTTGCACCACGCCACATGTTTGGAATGATTTCGACACGTTCAAAGCACCCTCCCAACCATTTTAGTTGAGATTTGTCACGAAAACATAGCTTCTAAGCAACAGCCTGAAACGCAAATTCCAATGGCAGAGCCACATCCAAAACCCCCGAAACACCACCCTCCAAACACCAATCCCAATGTAACTACGCAGAAAATTGCGGCATCCTGAATTCATCCTCCCATATATCGACCGTCCCAAAACCACACTATTTACGACGAATCTAACCATCGCGCGGCATCCACAAACTGCTCCAAACGCCTCGCCCAATGGGGACAAATTACGGGACTCAGCGGATCCACCGCAACGATACAACGACGACAGACGACGAGTCCGAGCACGCGAGGCGAACACAGTCCAACCCCCACACCCCAAATAATATAATGTGTTTTCCGCAAACTTATACAAACCCACATGACTTCAACTAACAAAGGAAATACTACATTTCCCCCATGTCTTTTAAATCTTTGCTAATCCATTGGGTTATGGATTACTTTTTTACGTGATTTATTTTGTTTATTTAAACAAATGGATTCAATGACGGCCCATCAAAATTCGCAAATACATCTCCTTCAAAAGAGCTAGAGACGTATGAAGGATGTCCTCCTACTTTGTACAAGAAAGAAGGGCAAAACATAAGGACCGAGCAAGGCTCTGTCAAGCTTCAAAAGTTGGCCCAAAGAAATGGTAGGCCGAATTAGTCTACACCACCACGTGTGCATTGAAGTACCATTGATGTACTTCACATGCAAAAGGTTGATCTTACCGTTGAATTTAAAGGGTGTTCGGTTTTGGTACAACAAAGACACCGGCGATCCAAGGTCCATCCCGACGTCAAAGGTCTCAGAGGCATCAAAGACCAAGCGGATGGATTTCTCAACCTCAAAGCATGATTTTGATCCAGAAAGGTGATGATTTTACCGCTTGTCATGTGTACAGTGTACAGTGTACAGTAGTGTGTCTCAGATTTTGGCAGGAAAGTGGATGCTAGACCTACGGTTCAGCAGGATTTTGACAAAGGGTCCAGCGAAAGGATGTTGAAGGCATTAGTTCAATCGCCGGCCAAGTTGCAAATACTCCATGTCTTTTCAAAGCAAGCATCAAGTCCCCTTCTCCAGCTGCTCTCAAACGCTCATCACTCTGAACTCTGGACGCCTTGCGCCCGCGCACCCAAATCCCGTTCGCTCTCCGTGCCTTGACCCATCCAACCTGCTGTCCGTCCACGAAGAGGGTCAAATCCGCTGGTGGGCCCAAGCCCTTGGTCGTTTCGAAGATCAACCTCACCTGGTCGCAGGCAGCCGCAGGAGCCCCGGCCAGTCATCAGCCAAATGGGGGCTTTTTTCTGTCGGACGTTTGACACAACCATCACAAAATGAGTGCAGCCTGGTGCAAACCCCACCACAAAGTGGCTCAGTGCAGCCCACCATCGGAAAAGGTTCAGTTGAGCATCGAACCGAACTTTGAGGCCCCATGCCTTCCCAGCTTCCCAGAGGAAATATGTTTCTGCCAACTCCATCTTTCCCCCTTTGGGTCAGTGAAAAGAGACGAAGTTCGATGAGACTCCTAGTGGTCCTTGAATTAAGCCTCATTTCTTCTATAAAAACGATATAAAACCTCCAACTCCCAATCAACGGAGTCTTGCCCTAATGTCTTGTTGTCTTGCAGGGTCCTCAGATTCTCTATTGTCTTCGCCCTGGAATCCAGCAGAACGCACCGCGACCAAGGAAGGCCCACCTGGATCTTTCGGGTTCCAGGCTGCAGGGGAGTCGTGGATTTGGCGATGTAGCGGTACCTCGTTCCACCGCGAGCAGACTACAGCGATTCGAACACAAGATACCGCGAATCTAATGGCTAGGCTCCGACATCTTGATACCACGAAAAGAAATGGCGGATCACACTTGCAAGCTTCAATCGGTTCCGCAATCTCTGGAAGAAGGCGCTCTTCTGCTTCAAGCGTGTCGAGCTTGCAACAACTGCAACACCAAGAACGAGATTTTGCAAATAACCCATCGGGGTGCTTTAACAAGCAGCTTATAACTGCAACAATTGGAAGTGAGCTGCAACAATTGGAAGTGAGCTGCAACACTCGTATATACATTACAAATACTACCGTGAAGATCCGTGAAGTTTATGGTAAAGACTAAGCTGCAATAGGGTCGACATGTACTCAGCATACAAATAGCCATTGTCCATGTAAACTGAAAAGCCTCCAGCTGTACCACCCACGCAATAGAGAACTCCACTCGCGTTGGCTGAAATCTCCACATCAATGGTGGCGAGGGAGTTCTGTCCGCTATGAAATCCAGGAGCATTTGACTCAGCAATACCTTGGCTTCGATACAAGTTCTTTGCTTCAGTTTCTACAACTTCGACTGGCAAGGGGCACGTTTCTAACAAGAGCAAGCTAGCGGCGCGTGAGCCCTTCATAAAGTTTCCACTCAGTCAATGGTGAGTGAGGTCCTTCTTCAGGATGGTAATAAATGGTGTAGAGGCCTGCTCCAATTGGCAGCACCTTTCAGGGAACTATCCACACTATTGGTAGCGCCTTTCTTCAACATTCTTCAGCGAGGTATCTCGAAACAGCGGAACGAGCCCCCGCGTCTCTACAAGTCAACCGGCCAGCAGAAAGCGAAAGCGCCGGTCGAAATTGCCCCCGCTTTTGACGATCACGAAAGCGCCTTGTTGGCAGTTGCCTCCATGAGGAAGATCTGCTTCATCTTGGCCACTTGATCAGGCATCTCCTTGGCTAGGTCCTGCGCTTCGTAGAAAAGACAGTGCTTTTGCGTGACAGGTGGAGTCCACTTTGAGGGTCCATTGTGGACCGTGATCAGACCGGCTTTCATGCAAACAGCACGAGTACAGGGAACAGAGTCAACAAATATTTCTCCAACATGCTCTTGGAAGAAGAAACAAGAACAACAACAATAAACTGAAAATGTGATTCCAAACAGCAGGGCGGAGGGAGCATCTCTCCAACGAATATTCCTTCCTTCGGTCCGGCCTCGGCTTGCGAGAAGTCCCTTGTAAGGTCATAGAGCTCCCAAACCTTGATATGCTTTGGATCGCCCGGCAGGACCCATTTAGGCACCCTCATTTTTCTACCCTCCGGTTTCCGGGCTCCCTGTCAGACTTTATAGTTATAAGGGCATCTGAACGTCAACGTGGGAAATCCAAAAAGCTTGAGACTCCAGGGAAGAAAAACTGCAACGGTCAATCAACGAGAACGAGTTACAGTACTCTATATTACTCTATCTTCTTCGAGGCAGATCAGCTTTTGCCAAATTCCCAGCAAACCTCAAGAAGTTCATGGCTCAGCAAAAATGCTGAAAACTCAAACCCACTCTCTGTCCCACCCAGAAACACCTCGAGAAACAGAATAAAAGACGTTCTTTTACCAATGATGGCAGCATCAGTGTCCGGATTCCACTCCCTCATGCGGGTCTCATTGGCTTCGGCCCATGGAATGCCTCAGCCCACCAAGGGTTCAAACATTGCTGGGTTCGTGGCCGATGAATTCGGTTACGACTGCGGGAAAAAAAAGCACTCTGCACTGCACTCAGCTAGATCTCTCCCTCTCTCTCTCTCTCTCTCTCTCTCTGCCTCACCAAGCACCCTCTCAACATTCAACCCAGTTACGAGGCCCGAAAACGCTGGCGAACCAACCATCCTTGTACACTCCTCGACTACCCATAACCTCAAAGTACTGCGCGGATTTCCTCTCTTTCACTGAAACATTGTTCCAGGTGTAGACCATGGACACACCGTCCAAAGGCATCTGTTTCGCACCCTCCACGCGCGTGGGAAACTGAACGCCAACAGCTTCCTGATTCGTTTCGAGCAAGCAGGCCAGGGCGGAGGAGGACCGTGGCTGGGACCATCTGTCCATGTTGCAATTATTATTGCGCAAGCTCCCTCGCAACTCAAAACTGCAAGTTCGGCACAAGGCTCATGCTCTCTTCTATCATTTCTCTCACGCAAACCATACAACACCCACTCAGAAATTCTGGATGATATGTACCACATATGATCTGCTTGGTATTAACAAACATCTGCGCAGGGCTCACAGCAAAGCTTCATAGATGGTGGGCGCGATGTCGCAAACATGATGGAATTGAGAACGAGGAGTTGGATCGTGCTTGATAACCTGCATGCTTGGGCGGAGTTTTGTCTGAGCCCTGCCCCAACAATCATGGATCAAAAGTCCAAACTTGGTCCCCATCTTCCCTGATCTCAGCCCACAATTACAACCAAACAACTTGCACAACAGAAAGAATATGAAAGAATGATCCTTGCAAATCAATTCTTAAAAAAGGTTTCCCCCAAACCACAACTTTTTTCCGGCCTTTTCCGTCGACCCTTTCTTCCACTTCTTCGCCTTTGGCCAGGACATCACCATGGGCGTGCGCATCCCACCAAAGTGGGCAGCCACCAACTTTGTACCTTGCTGCCCAAGCGCTGAACAAGCAGGGCGGCGATTTCGTTCGCCAAAACCCCAGAACGTTGGGTTTGAGCGAGGCGAAGAGCTCCTACAACTACTTTCAGGCGCAAGAAGGACACACTGCATGTACGCGCACAAGTGTTTGTGGGCAAGAGCAGCTACACTGACATGGTGAAGTAGTGAGTGGGGCTACAGCAATCTACTTTGCGCGCGCACGGATAATACCTGGCAATCGGCGCCCAAAAAGCTGGGACCCACGGGCGTTGGTGTTTACAACGTTTAACCAGAAACGGATGGAGCTCCCAACGGTGATTTAGCCTCACTTTGAGATGGATGAAAGACTCACCAAGCCAGGCTGTGATGTATCTCAACAAACACATCCCAGCACACAACCGTGAACTGGCACATCCTTTGGCCACCCCAAACCCTCTCAAAACTTGCCTGACTTGCCTACAAATGAGCCATCAGGTTCATCAGGTTATTCGGCGTGGGAAGGGGTCCTCCAACCCGGACTTCAGCTGGTTGCTCTGCGCATACAGGCTTGTCGGTCGTAGTTCAGTTCAATCTCTGTCGCTGGGGCCTTCAAACTCTTGTCGAGTTTTGGATCCAGTGGAAGATGTAGAGATCATTGTCCAACCCCTACATTCACTACAGTAGATGTGGCACCTCTTGTTTTCTAAAGTGAAAGTTCAACCTCGGGAGCTGACTTCATGGATTTTGTGGACTCTGGAACTTGGAGGGTCGCTCGTCGTCGCGGCCACCAGCACGCGCTTTTCGCAGTAGACTTCCATACGCCAAACAAAAAGTCTGCGGTTGGTCAAGATGTGTTCTCGGCTTATAGGGACAGCCTTCTTTCAAACGTTTGACAAGTCGCTGGACACGAAGGGCGAAATTCGACACGCTTAAAACAAATGTTATTTGAAGATAGTGTGGAGCTGTGTCACCTGCATGTCTCGCGGTCCTTGTGTCACACCATAATACCATAGAGTTGCCATTTGGACGAAGGCAGTTGGGTTTACTTAACTCAGACTCAACCATTTCGCCTCAATCCGCTTCGGGGCACCTGCGTTTATCTTGATTAAAGGCAGGCGTCGACCAATAAGGAGAATGTGGAACTGCCAAGCGCATGAACTCCTTCTGTTTTCCCTGACCAACCATCGCAACGGGGCAAAGGTGCTCTTGAAGGGCGTGTCCAAAGCCCAAGCCCAGGAGCTGTGATACATCTTGTCCTGAGCAGGGCAAAGGACCACCTCCAAACGCGACACATTAGCCCGATGACGATGAGAGTGCCCCAAGGATACGAAAGCGTCAGAGTTCAGGAAATGACAGGACCAATGTCGTTTCTCACGAATGCAATTGATACGCCAATTTGAGCTGTGTCCTCATTGAACTCATTGAAACAGTGGGGATCAATCCCATGAGACCCTGATACCTTGCACCTTGAGCAAACAAGAATACGCCAAATCCAGCTGGAACTTTCTAAGCGCCTGGTCCTGCGCGCCCTCTCTGCCAGCCAGGGCTCAACATGCTGGGAGCCCAGAGCATCAAGCCCTCCAAAATCTCGGTTCAACACCTCAGACCAACGTGCTCCGAGCTGGAGTCTGAGGACCGTCAGGAATTCAGGACTGACAAGAACCCCCTAGGACGATTCCGGCCAGTTGCCAGCAGCACAAGTTGCGGTCAGTTGGACATGTCTGAGAATGATCCCAGCCGAATAGGGTCGTCCCTTCATTCAATGCAAACCAATCACCAAAAGTGCGAGTCTGCTTTTTCATGGACTAAATATGTCAGTTCAAACAACAAACATTTCACCATCTTTTACCCACCCGAAGCGGCTGGCCAAGCAGCTTCCATCTGCTGCTGGTAGGTGCTGGGAAGCGCGTTCTCCGCCAGGAGCTCGTCGATGGTCCCGTGGATCCCCTCGGCGCTAGCGCCGTTGTCGCCCAGGACGTAGATGATCAACGTGTTGTTGAACAGGCCTGAAACATCTCAAAAAGGGACGCATGCGGCCGCAGCCAAACATAAAGACCCCCGAGTTCAGAAGAGACAACTCCAAAGCAAATTTAATTCATTCCATTTCGTTCCTAGCTCCCAAATGCGCTTCCACACTGACTGGAAACCAAGCAACAACTGCAGAAGGATGAAACAAATATTGTTTTTGTTCCTTGCTGCAAAGTGCCTCTAAAGCACTGCGCGTCTACTGCCTTCCATCATCAAAAACTCACAAATAAAGCCCGGCCGGGGTTCTCTTTTCTTGGCTGTTTGGTTTTGGACTGCCATGATTCCAGTACTAGCCTTGTCGCTCCAACTCTTCGACAACTTTGCCATCCTCAACTAGCAGCACATGGGGCCGGCCAGCAACCCGTGACCCTGAAGGTCTCATTCGATACGGTTCGGGCGATGGAGAAGAGGTACAAAATTTTTGAAAAGTCAAACCATAACCAAACCACTTTGGCCACATGTGGATCCACTCGTCAGCTCTCCAAGATTCCTGAGTGTCCGTATGCTCCAAATAGCCCGCATAGACCTGGCCGGGGTTTGCCAAAAGAGTCCTCCTAGCTTCAATGATCATTTGTCCAAGTGCGTGGTTACACCGTTGGCATATTACAAATAAGAACAAGCAAGAATCCCTTAGCAATCTGGCTGACAGGCGTTGCGTCTTTGCTAGACAATGTTGCCTGGCGACTCTTTTCAATGCACCATGTAAGCATCACCTCACGGCTATGTGTGGCCACATATGCGGAAACACGACAGCACCGCAACAAGCAAGAACCACCGGGCCCGATGTTAGCATTCTAGAGTGACAAGTGTCAGCATGTTAGCGTGACCCATGTCAGTGTGCCAGCATCACAACACTCGACAGCCTGAGAACACCTCAGTGTGACAGCCAATGTATAAAACATGTTTGAGTGTCAGCGTCCAATCATACCACCATCTCAGCACATCGGCGTGACAACTCTTCAGAACGTCAGGCGACAACATGTTCGCATGTCAGCAAAACCAGCACGACGGCATGATTGCAACTTTGTATGACAGAGTTGCAAAATGGTTCAATGTCGACGTTGCAGTGCAAACCATGTGAGCCTGGCAGCCTAATGGAATGACAACATGCCAGCGACACCATGCCAGCATGACATGATGACACTTCAGCACCATGCCATGACAGTGTCAGCAGAACAGCATGTCAGCATCTGCAAAACTGGTCCAGAACTTGCAACGGAGCCGGTTCGCAAGCTGCGAACTTCCTCCTAAACCTCCTTCACCCGAACTTGCTCCGCAACTTGTCTCCGCAACTGCTCCGGAACTTCTGCGGAATTCGCTCCGGAAATTGCTCGGGAACCTGCTCCGGAGCAAGCTCGAATTCCCGTCAAGGTCAGCCTTGCAAGCTTTCACGGGCCTCGTTCCAACAAAGGGGCTCAGCTATGCGTTACCCTGCACTGATCTGCTCAACCACCTCTGGGTGTGGCTGAGGTTGCTGAACCCGTTTGTTCTCTCAACAGTCCCGAAACGAGTAGCACCCACGTGTTGGAGCAAGAAGTTGTTGTATGTAATTTCTGCGTCGTTTTCCTGTGGTCCTAATTTCACAAACAAATGTGTGGAGAGGAAGGGAGAGCTAGAAGACTACTGTAGGACAAACTTGTGGTCCAAGGTTTGGGTTGCTGTAGACAAACTTGAGACTGCTATGTCAAGCTCCCCGACATGACAAAGCCCAAAGAACCGTCCACCAAATCCACCTCCATAAGCCGAAGCTGGAAAGCCCGCTGCTCCTCCTTAGGCCGAAGGCGCGAGAACCAATAGTTTTTGCATCTCGATCCTGGCTTGCTATACACCTACCTACAACCGCACGATTGCATGAAGTCTACTATAATATATTGAAACCACACAACCAAAAACAAAATAAATATATATATATATAAATATAAGGTACCCAAAAAACACCCTTTCATCAAATTTACTTGTACTTTACAATGTTTTATGCATATTTTGTTATTCATGAATGCACTTTACAATTCAAGAGAGCAAAACAAAATGACATCAGACAAATAGAAGATATCCCCAATGACAACCAGCAAAATAACAATCCAAAACGACAAAAGAACAACAAAAAAACTTGAGGAGAATGTTTGGTTCGGCCTCAGAGAACGGTTTCGCTGTGTTCATTGCGTTTTGTTAACAAAAAAGAACCCTTTTTGAATATATGTGGAAGTTACTCAACATTAAAACTCAATTGAATGAAAACTGAAATAGAACTGACATTTAATAACAGTAGAATGAAGTAGGTGAGTTTGAATTCAATTAGAATTGGGTTAGAATTAGGCCATTTAGGATGTCAATTATCATTCAATTGAATTTTAACAAGGTTGAGTAAATTCCATATATAGTTTACTTGGTTTAAATTCAATGCAAATTTCTTTCTCTTTAATTCTTATTTGTTTTCGAGTTAATTTCTTTGCAGTTTTTTGTTTACATCCAATAATCTTCTATTATTTGTCTAATCTATTTTTGTTTTTATGCAATTCTAACTTGCTTCTAGAGAGTGCGCGTTGCTTGTAAAATCAACGCTTTGTATATAGTTTACGCGTTGCTTTCTTAAAGGTTGTTTTCTTAAAATCACACCCCCAGCAAAGCCCTCTCTCTAGAAGAAAGTCAGATTTAATGAGAGTTCAATTCAATTTGCAGTGTTTTTTGAAATAGATTCGCATTGAACTAGAATCGAATTAGAAATAAGACATAGTAACGATTGCCTCCAACCTAATGGCCATGACCTCCAACTTAATAACGATGGCCTCCAACCTAATGGCCATGACCTCCAACTTTGTAACAATGGCCTCCAACCTAATGGCCATGACCTCCAACATAGTAACTAAGTTTTATTCAAAATCCGCCCGCACCGAAGGTGGACTGGAAGATCAGCTGCTAGATAAACAGCTATATAGATAAACAGCTTCGGGGGGGTGGGCACACTTTTGCTCTAGAACGCTGTGCTTTTGAAGCGCTTTAAAGATGGGTAAATATTGACATCGTGTGTAAGACTGCCCGTGTGGCTTCGGAGCTAGGCGTTCGCGATGTCGGATATGCAGCCCGAGGGAGACTTCATTATTGAGGTGTGTTTGTCCGTGTGTCCGAGACGCACAAGCCGAGACAGACAGGCCGAGACAGACAGACCGAGACAAACAGACCGAAACAGACTATTGACATCGTGCGTGCGTTCGTCCGTGTGTCCTGCCCGACCGAGACAGACAGACTGACAGACCGAGACAGACAGACCCAGACAGACAGACTGACAGACCGAGACAGACAGACAAACTGAGACAGACAGGCCGAGACAGAACAGGCCGAGACAGACCGAGACAGACAGACTGACACAGACCGAGACAGACAGACCGAGACAGACAGGCCGAGACAGACAGGCCGAGACACACAAGCCGAGACAGACACGCCGAGACCGACAGCCCGAGACAGACAGACGCACACTCTCCGCGCGGGCGGCTTCGAGCGCGAAGCGCTGTGAATAGAATTAAATTGGAGTTGCAAAACAATTGAATTTGAATTGTATAATATTTAAACTAGCCGAAACTAAAAATTGACTACAAATATATTGAAATATAAACAAAACTAAATTTGAACTAACATAAAAACTAAATTGGAACGAACTTCGAGATATATAAATTAAGAGCAGGTGGACTTTGGGGTGGAGCTAGCATATATATATATATATATTATGTGTGTGTAATTTTGAATACATGTTTCTACTATATATATATATACCCCGACATGTTCACTTCAGACTTCAAACACTCGTGCTTTTGAGGCTTAGCGGAAACCTAGGTTTGTCTGTGTTTCTTTAAGAATTGCCCGCTAAAGAGCTTTTGTCCAACCCTGTGGTCTTCTGATAAAATATTTGGCATATAATGGACGCGCTAGTCTTGGGAGGGCGCGCTGCGCCACATTCGTATTTGATGCTGGCTCCACAGGTGGATAAAACCCCGCTGGGTGTCCCCAACTCAGTTCATGATGAAACGCAGTCGGATGATGCATGCTGCATATGAGCCGTAAAGTTCCTCCGCCATGGGCCGCCAATCAGCGATCACTGATACATATAAATATATATATATATACGTACATCATCGCGCGTAATATATGAATATGATTAAATATGTATGCGTACACCGCTCATTCATCCACTGGCGGCTACACGGTGACACTATCCGTCTCCTTCCCTTCCTATGATCAAACCTGTTCGTCACACCTGACCATATTGGACCCTCCACCGATGCCACCGAGCATCCGGAATCTCTTCCCATTTTACCATAGTTGGATCAATTGGTGTGAGCTTGGTGCTGTTCGGGATCCAGCCCATGGCCTTGTCATCCGAATTGCTTCATGGCCCGAACGCAATTAAACACTGCAGGGAGGGGAATGAGACCGCATCACAGCGTCAACACAAAACGAACCCCGGAGCGCGCAAACAAGCCCAGGCCCAACCTTCCCTCCAGTGCACAGAGATGCACAGTCTTGGTCCCGGATAACCCTGCAAGCCAAAGCCTAATTTTTAGATACGTCGCCCTGTCACTGAGGTAGCTAGCTGCTTGCTACGGCTAAACCTTCTCTTCATCTCTCACAGAAAAGAGCCGAAATCCTGGCCTTCTGCTTCTCAAACGTGATGTTTCGAAGCTTCTCCCAGCCCATGTCGAACTTGCCTTTTCGTCGAGACGGCCAAACATGCGGCCAAGAGTTCAACGCCGAACTCACTGCTCACATAAACAAAACCTCCAGACTCCAGGTCCAGGTGACTAAGTTCTATCATGTTCTATCAGTGTATCGGCAGGATCGGAGTAGGCGAGCTGCTAGACCGAAATCGTCTTTGAGTCTTTGGTGACCGCAAAGACGGGACACACAACGCATCAAAGATCCTACTAAACTTAACATTGATGCGAGTACACAGCACCTCAATCCCTGCCATGTCACCCTTGTACTTGTCCGCCCACTCTTTGTGTACATGATGCGGGCCGTGTGCGCCACCCGGCGCGAAGTAAATGAAGAAGGGCCGGTCCGGGGTCAATGCACGATTGGCGCGGATCAACTTGATTGCTTGGTCTGCCTCGGTCAGCATCACCGTACATGGCCCTCAGTTGTGGGAGTAACACAACCTGCGCAAGTCTCCTCCACCTTACCATCCCAATTCAGCATTTCTCCTGGCCTTGACCATGAAAATGTGGCAGAAAGGTGTTTGGCTTCTGTCCACCCTAAAACGTCAACTGCCCCAATCCCAGGACTCACTGAACTCTTAAGCAAATGGACCATGTCCTCGGTCAAATGATAGCCTTCCTCTGGCTTTCGTGGTGGCTCGATGGGGTTGGTGTTCTCATACAAGCGAGGGTTGTACTGCGACGTCTCCCCCGCAAGGAAGCCGTAGAAGTAGCTGAAGCCCAGACCGGTGGGGTACTGGTCGAAAGGGCCTGACAAGGAGGGGCTGTTGAGAAGCTGATCACGGCTAATCCTCACACCTGCAAGCCAGAGAAACCGGAGGCAAATGCACATGAGTCGGAGATTGCCTTGTCAAACACTTGGGTCTTCTTCCCACACCCCTCTCCCACGTACGGGTTTGTCTTCAATTGAGCTTACCAAAATATTCCTGAAATATCATGAGGACCCCGATGAGGCGCCCTAACTTCCACCTTCTTCCCCCCACCTGACTTCATGAGGTCATCCACGGGAGTGTTGTGCCACTTCCCAAACGCTGCAGTATCATATCCATAACCAGAGAGCACCTTGGCCAAGGTGGCTGCTGACTTCGGGATCGTGCCTGTGTATCCTCGAAGCAAAGGCGGGCCGGTTTGTCTCGAAGGCTAACGGATTCCTCCCAATCGATTCAATTTTTTTCCAACAACATTAAAGAACCCTGTAAAACCATTGGGTTGGAGGCCATCGCTATTAGGTTGGAGGCCATGGCTCTGAGGTTGGAGGCCAACGCTAGTAGGTTGCAGGCTATCGCTAGTAGGTTGGAGGCCATCGCTTTTAGGCCGCTCTTAGGTTGAAGGCCGTCGCTATTAGGTTGGAGGCCATCGCTCAGGTTGGAGGCCATCGCTACTAGGTTGGAGGCCTTCGCTGATAACAGTATAGGTTTCTGGTCATGGCTAATTGGAGGCCATCAATCACTGCTCACTTCCTTGGGCGCCAAGTCTCCAGGGAAGCCCGACGCCGCCTCGGTGATCTGCCCAGCACCGACGTTGTGGGAGTTCCGCCCAGTCAGCAGGGACGCACGGGTGGGAGAGCAAATGGCCGTGGTGTGGAAACGGTTGTAGGAAACCTTGGGTGAGGGTGAGCAGGTGACACCATGTATGTAGGCACCAGTGTCGCCTTGGCCGGGCAATCAAACACTTAAGGTCGCATAGGTGAGACCCTTTTAGAAGTTGCAAGGCATCCAGTTTGCTTTCATGCATTATTCGCCATTCAACGCAATGAAAGAAACAGAAGCAGCAAACTTATTCTTGACACTCAAAGGGCTGCGGTCAAGTGTGAGAAATGACAAATATGTTGTACAATCATACCTGTGACCTATGCTGAAAACGCTTCACACTCCTTCTCGGTAGCGCGAGCGTCAAAACTAGCTCTTTTAGTTCACTCTGCCGCCTTCATAGTCTTGGTCAACTCTTTTTCTTCTCTAAGGAACGGGGTTCCTTGAGGTATCCATTGCGATGTTTTCTGGGTTACCTCCTCTTGCTTCTATCTCATCTAGCATCATTCGGCGTCGATTTCTCTCATAGGCGACTTGGTCTGCTAGTTCAAATTGTCCTCTTCCATCTCGTGCCCAAATGTCTTTGGTTCAAGCTTTCGATCTTTCTCTGAAGTCGACCACACGGTACATTTGCCGGTTCTTCTTGATCCTGGTCCATCTGTAGGAACTGCTCCTTGGGTGGCTGCTTCTAGCATCGTATGTCCATGATGCTGTCCTCTTGTTGATCTCATGTTTTCCAAGCTACTTCTGACTAGGTAATTTGCTGCATTTGTCTTAGCGATCATGTCATAGCTGATTCTGTGCGTAGAATCTGGTTCTAACTCTTCTACAAAGCCTCCATTGAGAATTGAGAATCAATCCACAATTCTCCTGGCTTTGGCTTGCGCGATTGTCTAACTGGCGTTCCTCTTCTTCCTTCTGGTCAAGCATGTACTCGATACTCGATCTCCACCATCCTGATCTCGCGCTCAATCACCTTGTTGCATAGAAAATTCATTAGTGCTTCAGAGCAATCTTCAAAAACCTCCATGGTCATTGCTGCAAAACCAAAGCTAATGATCATGAGGATCGTGATTTTCCAGTTTCCATTGGAGTCTTCTACTTCCAACCTGCACTCGCCAATCTCTCTCATGAATGTACTTGCTTCTGTAACCATTGGCTGCAAGCCCTCAAAAGTCACGATTCTGACAATCATCTTTGCAATTTTGTTGACCTTACCTGCAAGTTTGTTTTTCTCTTCATACACCTTACCAACTCTTGTTGGCTCTTCATTGCGCCAATAACCAACAGGGTTCATCAAGAATCTGATTCTCTTGCCTCCAAGTGGTTTGGTATTGATGTCTGCCATGTTGCTGTCTGTTGGTACTTGTACCATATTGAAATCTTTTCGGTTCTGAATCCACGGCAACTGTCCATCTAGATGTCTCACTTTTCCAACTCCTCTCTTCATCACAAGTTGGCGCGCACTCGAAGAATCTGTGAAGATGTAATGGTCCACCTTTGTCCCAAGCGCAAATACTAGAACTGAACGAATGTACAGTATATACCATCTGAAGCTGAGGAAACTATTGCATTCTTCTTTCCAGTCCTCTTCATCAACTTCTTCTGCAACTGAGGATAGCTCTTCATCTGCAGGATAGAGGTCTTCTCCTGCAACCTTCACCAAGTTGATCTTGGCCTGCTTCCTTGAATCTTCTGATGGCCCTAGTTTCTGCATAGGGCTTTCTTCTTCAAGCTGTTGGGGCTTCGGGTAAATTGCGTCAGTAATCAGGGTTTTCTGCGACAGTACTTTGTTTCAGGGTTTTTTGCGACAGCTCTGGGGAAGGTGTTTATTGCAACAGTTCCCGGGTGTTTTTTCACACGGTGAGCCCGGAACCGGTGTTTTTGTGGACGTCTGCACGGTGTTGTTTGCTACGGTGGTGTTTTTTGCGTCAGTGAGCGGTGTTTTTTGCGACAGTGGGCAGCCCACAAATCGTCGGAGCGTACGCGAGGTGTTTTTTGCGACGGCGGTGTTTTTTGCATCAGTGAGCGGTGTTTTTTGCAACAGTGGTCAGCCCACAACTCGCCGGAGCGTACGTCTCGAGGTGTTTTTTGCGACGGCGGTGTTTTTTGCAGCCGTGAGGGGTGTTTTTTGCGACAGCTGTTGTTGCCTTGCAAGCAGCAACGCAGCAGCAGCAGCAGCAGCAGCACCAGCAGCAGCAGCGGCAGGAGCGGCGTCAGCGGCAGCGGTAGCAGTAATGCAGCAGCAGCGGCGGCAGCACCGGCATCAGCCGCAGCGGTAGCAGCAACAGAGCACAGCAGCAGCAGCAGCCGCAGCAGCAGCAGCAGCAGGCACCAGCAGCAGCAGCAGCACCGAGGCATCTAGCCGCTGCAACGACCGGCAATGGCAACCGGCAATCGCGACATACAGCTATCAAAGAGACCAAGCACTAGCAGATGCAGCTGCAGGCCGACAAGCGCCGCTTAGCTTCCCGCGCAGTTGCGCGGTACTGAGCTTCTCCGCCATGGCAAGGCGGGCGCTAACGGGAGAAGAAAAACCGTGCGTATAGTTAGTTGGGCGCCGCACCCCGCCCCGACGCGGTAGGCGAGAAAGACCTGGCAGCGGTGACAGATCGTACAGTATGGCTACGCACTGCGAAGAAGTGTCGAATCGACGAGCAGAATCGGTAAAGCACAGCCAGTATGAAAAATGCAAAGTTTAACGTTTAATGACCAAAGAAACGAAAGAGCTGCGTTAGATAATGTTTGGTGTCTCACCTTTTTCCATGGCAGCAAGAAAGTTTTGTTTGTGGCATCAGGAAGAAACGCGGCGGCGTTTGCGCGGGGGAAGGTTGGAAGCTTTCTTTCGCCCACCTTTCTTGTTGGCTGGCACTGTCGAAAGATTCAAAGCCGGAGACGAAAAGTTGGGAAGGCTGCAACTACGAAGAAATGTTGAATGTTCGCATTGTGCATGCATGGCGGCTGCCAGGCAAGAACATAGTATCGAAGTTGATTTGATTTTGAGATACACGATGCTTTCAAAATGGAACCGCAAAGACTCCAGGGAAAGGGTTCCATCAGCAGCGAAGAGATCTGGCAAACTGTGCGCAGTCAAGGTTTCAGGGTGTAGAAGGACATGGAGAACTTTGCGCGCAACGCTGCAGTTCAGCGGGGATGTTCTGGCAGCGCTTGCAAATGCGACCCAAGAAAGATTGGCGCATGGGTGCAGGATGTACAAGGTATCACGAGGCAACTTGTTCAAATGGGCAGCGGGTGTACGTCCAGCACGAACCAAAGCTGCGCCGCTTCATGGTGATGCTGTTCCCACCCATGTATAAGGGCTCGACTACAGGCCGCTGCAACTCAAACTTCCCCGGATGGGGCTCCTATTGCCAGGAGGCATTGCCACGTATGCGTCGAGCAATGCAAGCATGAGACTGAGATCTTGCCTTGGCGTCTTCCTCGTACGGCGCACGAATCCATCCCACCTGGGATAAAAACAGGTGTTGCAAAAAAAACATCTACAGAGACATAGGCCAATGCGAAGCGGTGCACATGGGGCCCAGACAGGAGTTTTCAATGTCAAACGACATCCCCAAAACTTGTGCAGGAACGCAGTCACGTTGAAATCCTGACACAGATGCGACGGATGAGTTTGTGACCGTACGAAGAAAAGAAAATCATGGCCCTACCCGCATACAAAGGCGCAGCACGACTAGCCTCGGAGGCATCCGCCCAGCGCCCGGTCATGCCTTCACAAGTATAGCACATCAGGCCCGGAATGGACGCAACCAGTCGCTTCAAGGCTGAGGCTGCGGCTAGAAGACGTGGAGCCATTGGCAAAGAGAACGAGCCAAAACTTGCAGTTCAGCTCGGTTCAAAGAAGAAAAGGTGCAGGCCACCAAGCAAGACCAAGCAAAGAGCTCAAAAGCAAACCATCAAGACACTGCAGTTTGCAGCTGGCCTGAGTAAAAGGTGCAAGGCATCAAGCCTCAGCAGAGAAACATGCAGCCAAAGTGACAGGAGAAGCACTGAGGCTGCGGCCCTTTGCCGGGAGGAGCACATGCTCCCCCCTCCTCCTGGGCCGCGACAAGACAGCTCAACGGTTGAAGGGGCTTATTGATATCCCAGGAGGGGGCCCTTCCCTTCAACCTGCCATCTGCCGCGGGGGCTCCTGCGGTTGCCCTACCGATTTGTGTCACGGCTTCGCTGCCGCCGCATTCCAGCACGCTTTTATGTTTTGGTCGCTGCGCTGCGCTGGGGAAGCCCCGGCGCAAGGCAGACGCGACGCTAGATCCGACGTCCGACGTTGCCCGGTCTATAGAAGAAGGCCTACATCAACCATTCTTTGTGGGACGCTGGCAAACAGCGACATTGCGCGCGGCGTCTGCCAGCGCGTGGACGCGCCATGCTGCCCGCAAGCCCGTCAACCGCCCAAGCGATTGACGTTACGCGAGGCACTTACTGGACAACTGCAAGGTGTTCATGCCGCAAAAGAAAATCGA